GGTACGAAACTATTTCGAAGATACCGTTCGTTTAAAAGTAGCGAGGTACACGGGGAACACGTTTAAGCATGTTAAGGTACGGATCGTGAAACGTGTTCATTAAGAAAGAAATTCTCTTCCCCCGAATAATTCTGTCATTTCTCATCGCCGCTAATTGCTGTTCGCGCGGTCGATGCATCGTTAAAAAAAAAAAAAAAAATAATGATATTTACATTTTTACGCGATTATAATTAATCGTTGCTCGTGATCAAATCTATGAGGTGGTTTTTTTTCCTTTTTTTTTTTTGCCGCGGAACGAGTTTGTCGTTACCGCTTCGTGATCACCGGCCGTTGTGCGTCTATCTATATACGTTCGTCGGTTTTTATTCGTCGATTCGACTTCGCCGACGGTTTCGAAATAATTTACCGTTCACTTTGGCGACACTTACAAATTGCACGGGGATATAAGAATTAATGACAGTAACAGTTAATGACCGGGGGTATCGACTACCAGAGAGATCCACGAATCTCTTTTCTTCCTCCTTCGTAATGACCCGTAAATGTAAAACCCTTTTTCCCCAACGCGTTGATAGAATTCACGAATTTATTTAAGAATATTTTAAGCTTAAATTTAAAACTTCAAATTTTCGATCGAAATTTTTTTCTTTTCTTTTTCTTCTTCTTCCTCCTTCTCTTTTAAAAATCCAACCCATTTTGGCAATGGGAAAACAAAACAATAAAATACGGATACGAAATAAATACTCTCGTACCCATCGTAAAGTACAAGGTATCTATCGGTATTATATTTCTTCAGTGCTTAATCAAGCGGCCGTTTTACGACACGTTTTAACGCCACGGGAAATTAAACTCGCGTTAACAGCAGGCCAACCGATCTGGCAACGCAGGCGCGATCCAAAGATTTTTGCGATTTATTATTTTCGCGGGGACGAATCGCAGTCCGCGCATCCGGTTTCGTTCGCTCGAACCGAACAGGAGAGGGGGGAGAGGGGGATCGGAATATGGGAATGGATCGTGGATAATAACTCGCGAAAGAGAGCGCCGCCGAGAAATACTTTACAGCGTGGGATTCTCTGTCCGAGAAGTGGCGAGTCGGTAACACCGTTACCGATCCTCCCTCTGAGCATTCCAACTTTGACACGTTCCGGGAAAGAACTCGCCTACCTTTCGAAACGGAGCCTCGAGCTCAAGTTCGAGAAAGAGAAAGAAAGAAAGAAAGAAAGAAAGAAAGAAGAAAAGAAAGAAAGAAGAAAAGAAAGAAGAAAAGAAAGAAAGAAAGAAGAAAAGAAAGAAAGAAAGAAAGAAAAAAGGACTTATATAGAAACTGATATATATTATATATTATTATATATAGAATGTATATTGAATGTAATTGACAGCGAGTGAAAATTTCGATTCGTCCCCAAACGATCCAAAGGGATCGAGTTTCGAGTTGAAGAAGAATTTTTGGAAAGAGGATTTTTGTTTTACGTGACGAGTATCTTGATATAAGACGTTTAAACGGATGGGGACGCGAAAGGATTCGATTTCCCGCTACGAGGGAACTTTGTCGCGGACTGTAATACGCGGGAATAGCAATTACACTGTAATAACAGTACTAACGATAATGGTTGCAAGAGCAGTTAACATTAACGACAGGAGTGATCATGCCGATGCTGATGGCGACAATAGTTGCATCGTAACTTTTATACGCATGAGTTGCTTCGTAGGCGTTCCGATTAAGTGGCGCGCGCCAGTGTGTGCGTGCGCGTGTGCGCATGCGCGCGCGTGTGTTACTAATCCTCGACCACGAGGATACGTATAACGTTAAAAATCTAGGGTAGAGAAGATATGTATGTATATAGGTCAGACTGCTTTTCGTTATAATTAGTCAATTAACATTTCCCGCTTCGCAGAAACGGCCCAATTAAAATTTATAAGGTAGAAAACTATTTTCCTCGAATTGTATTTACAATCTTATTCATCTTCCCGTATCCTCCTGCATGCTTCCGCAAGCGGTTCGATCTCACAGCTTGTACGTAAACGTTAATCGGTATAGACACGTATCCCGATGCAACGTTACATAGGGGATCGGGGGATTTAATTAAAAAATTAAATTCCCAGACAAAACAATAAACGCCTGCCCTCTCCTCCCCCTCTTTCTTCTCCTCCTCCACGGCCTTTCTTCTAAACCCATGCATCAATCAATCCCGATCACTTCTAACAGACCTTCTATAACCGTGTTATACGTTTCTCACGGATCGCGAAGATATTATACGGTGTACTCCAACAAGGTTTTTCAACCACGGTAAAAGAACACGGTAAAACGAAGCGTGACTAAGTTTCTGTCAATATTCCTTAATCCAATTCGCGCCAATTTCTTTTTTTCTTTCTTTTCTTTTTATCCTTTTATCGTTCCGGAAGAATAATCACTGTGTAGGAGGAAGAAATGTATAAATCATAAATCGACAATTACTCGAATCATCGTGATTGTTGTTGTACTAAATTTCGTATTAGATCGCGACTAATATATCGAAACGAAATTTCCGCTCGCGTTAATTAAATACGGCGTTTGCCGTTCCTCGGTGTACCGCGCACGACGGCACGCGAACGTTGTTGACATCCAACTATTATTCGTAATCTGTGACGTGCCACTTACGCGTGCAACATAGTAGTAAACTCAATTTTAATTAACGTCCTCCGCGCACCACGTTCTGCGCAACCGGCTGCCTCTTCCCTTTGCCTCATCTATTACGGCGCGCGGCAGCTTTACAATTGACATGTCGTCTGCATTGATGATGATACTTCTTCTCTCCGCGCGTTCCCGTTCGTCTCCCGTTTCGTCGGAACGGGGGGGGAAAAAAAAAGAAGAAACGACGAAGAGGGAAAAGAACGAAAGAAAAAGAAAAAGGAGAAAAAGAAACGTTCATTTTACGACACGCTATATATGTCGTATCGCTATTAACGATGTGGAAGCACTTTTGCTTCGCGACGAGGTATCCTTCCCCCCTCCACCTCCCCACTCCCTCAAGCGGTTCTCAAGTATATAAATTCATACAGTCGTACATGGATGAAATACCACATGTCTGACAGAAATTAGATTTCGCGAGACATTGGAGACGGAACTGGAAGAGAGAATTCCTTCCATTTCGTGTGAACGAAATTAGAATGAACGATTGAATTTCAAAAAAATTTTCATCAATTGAACTTCGTCTCTATTCGTCTCGTTGTTAGACGATCGCAAGTGTGATAGAAAAATCGATCAAAGACGCGATAAAGCTGAAAACATGGCGAATAGATCGCTGTTAAAAGAAAGAGAGAGAGAGAGAGAGTTGTAAGGCGATCGGGCTGTCAATTGAAATCTCGAAGCGATTTTATTTAATGCTTGGAGGGAGAGGAAAAGAAACGAAAAGAAAAGAGAAGAAAAAAAGCGAACGACCAGAACCCAATCAGCGAGTTGCCGTTTCGATTCGCTCGGAGCAAAATCGTGACGTAACGCTAACTGAAAACTTATTATTATGCCGCGACAATCGTGAAGCTAATCGGTAAATCATCGACTGGCTCGATCGTCCAATGTGACACGGTCCACGCGATTGATGTATACCTCCAAACATAACGTCGAAATCCATCGGTTTAATCTATTCATAAAGATGGCTTACCGTGCAAACGGACCACAGTCGTCGAATGGTTTTATGAATGGTCGCGTGGAACAGGTTTCACAGTTCGGATACGGGATCGTTAACTTCATTTTTATCTTTGCCAACGTTTCGTTTCAATCCCGGATATCCGTATCGCTTCGATTTTTTTTTCTTTTTTTTATTTTTTACGCTTTCGTTTTTTCCCCCCACCTCGAATATAAAATTAAAAATTTGAAATCGATCGATCTCGAACCGATCGATCGACATTCGCAACGATCGAAACTATCCATTTTGATTAAAATTAAAAATATATATATATATATATCTTTAGAAAATATAATCAGGTTTTAAATATATATAGAGAGGAAAAATAAAAATAAAATGCAAGAGACGAACAGGCTTTTTAATTGTCATTTCCATTTTACTCATTTATTCTCATCGGAAGGTTGATCGTGGAACGAGATATCGTTAGGAATCGGTGTGTTTAAATTTACAATACACGCAAACGCGGCGTTAGATCGTGATCAAAGAAACGAACCAGCCGAACCGGTAAAATGCTTATCGATTCATTAGCAACCCGGCTATCGACTACATTGGAGCCAACAAAGTACTAAAAATAAGTAGGCCAGACACTACGAAACCATTACAAACCAGTTGTAACTTCTTCCCTCCCCCTCGAAAAATCGCCTTTTTTTTTTTTCTTTTTTGCACTTTGCAATAAAAACAGCCCGTCCCGACGGCGTGGCTATCTCCACGGACGGATCTCGCCACGAGAAATCGGTAATGTAACAGTTGAACGGATAATAATCAACGGGTTGGGTCAATCCGGGAATAGAAATAATATTAACACGAAAATATAAATCCGAAAACCCGTTTCATCCGCTCCGCTCATTTATCATTCCATTCAATGATTTCAATGCTTCTTTCTGGTATCTCGAATCCTTATGGCGTTAATGGCGGCGGAAGATTTGATAAACGACACGACGGTCGTTTCGAGCTTTGTAAAAAGATACGATTAACGGATTGATATTGGTGGTAGGATGAAAATTTTATTCGTTACAACACAGACGATTATTTAATCGGTCTGAAAAAATTGATCGACAAATCTCGAATAGCCGCAGAATTTAATATCGCGCGCTCGAACCCCCCCCTCTTCTACCCTCCCCTCATAACTATGATTTCTCTCTTGGAGAATCAATTTTACGCCGAGACCTCCTTGGGATTCGAAGCGCGACCTGGCGGATAGTATTCAGTTAATTTGCTCGCTAGACCATGGTGGTCGGATAAATTAAAATAGATCCGGCTGCAAATTCCTTTTGCAGGTTGCATACGATTACAATCGGGAACGTGCAACACCTCTAACGACAAAAACGTTTCTCGTTCCAGGAAGGCGTATCTCATCGTGAGAGGCTGGGACCTCCAGGATGCCAGGGGTGTGGAGGTTGCTACGTATGCTGATCTATATGGTGAGAAATATTCACGTTCTGCGTACGATTTTTTAATAAAAAAAAAAATAAGTTTTAATAAGAAATAGAGTAACGTGCGAAAATGGATCTCGGGTAAAATAATTGAAACTTCCTGGTTTAAAGTAATTTCGAACGAGAATCGGCCAAAGGAAGTATGCTACTTTCTCGTAATGTACCAACGACTCGATCGAGTAATGAAGGCTGCAACGAGATTAACGATGACCCGTTAATAATAATCTAAATTTAAATAATAAAATTCTTATATCATTGATATATCATTGATTTTGCAAATCAATATTTTTATTGAACTATTTAAATAAATAAAATATAATTTTAAAAATATTAAATTTAATGGAATTCAATGTATCGTTAAAATATAATATTCAATCATTAGACCATTATTAATTTCAAATTTAATATAAATTTTATCAAATTACTATAAATAAATAAATTGAATAAATAAGTTTAAATAAACAATATATTATTAAAATAATAAATAAATATTTTAATCAAAAAATTCGTTCACGAAATAGTAAAAATCGTTATTGTATTTCGTTTAATAAAGTTCACATTCGAATTTGCGCGCGTTAAACAAGGAGCGTATGTTTATTAGACTATGAACGGGTGAAAAACGAGTTACGGATACTGCTATTAAATTGCATCGACTCGCGCGCCGAATTGAGATACTGAGCCGAAGTTGGAAGGGAAAGGCTCTCTTCAGAAGACCGATCGATCATTTCCGCTGATTAACGAATTCTAATAATAATTCTATAACCATGTGCGAAATACGGTATACGGTAGTTTCTTCCACGGTGTCAGACCTCTTTCCAACATGTGCTCAACGACGATAATCTTAGCATCCATTACCGGCCGTCCAACGATTTTCACACGACTCCTCGCGTGTTACCTGTTGTCTGCTTAACCGTTCCTTTTTGCGAGCCAATTAAACGTTGGATACTTGGCAAGACAATGGGCTATAATTTCGAAAAAATCGCCGATTCGATCCCCTTGGATTAAAGGGAGCGAATATGCGGAAGGGGAAAAAGGTACGGTTCGCAATTAGAAATAAAGAAGAGAGAGAAAGAGAAAATTGTCGGATGATCGTTACGAAATGATGCCTAATGAAAAATTCGTCACAGTCGGATGACAATGCGATGACGCGGCAAAAGACGCGACAGCTTGCAAGCGGATATTCGTGCCTACTCTAGGTACCGTTACGCGTATCTTACGACCTTCTTTTCCTCCTTTTCCCCCTTGCACCTGCTTCCTCTGAAAGTTATTCAGGACCTCTGCACAACCTATTGCCCCCTCGATGTTGCGTCTGCAGAGTGAAATCTCTTATTGCGGTTTCGCGCAGGAAATGCGTCATCCACTCGCATATTTGCATCCTTCGATATTTATGCGCTTCCGTATCCACTCCACTCCTCGCTCCATTGAATATATTTTGTATTCATCACAAGCGTCGTGTGCGAATATCATCTTGGACGTATTCGCGTCCTCTTTTTTCTTTTGTCGAGTTCGATTCAAATTTGAGATATAAATTATAAAAAAAAAAAAGAAAAAGAAGAATTTTATTTTCAGAGTTTCAGAGTTCCAACGATCTATAGTTAGCGCTGGAATTCTGAAATCGTCATTCCTGGTAACTCTTAAACAATTCGGAAAAGCAATCCATCCATCGGTGATTAACCGTTGTGGAGAAAAAGTACCGTAAAAATCTGTTTAACTATTCGTTCTTTGCTTCTGCCTACATAGCGCGACAATACGCATATACGTTTTTAAAGAAGAGGCCTCGAATGCGAGGGACCACCGAAGACTTTATTAATGCCTACTTAAAAGAACGTGACACGAAGAAATAGTTGCTCGTCTCCCGGTGAGTGAGAAGCGCATAAACGAACACAGAGGAAGCTATTTCCTCGTGTGTCGCGAGGAGTACAATCGGGTACACGGAGACGGGCATTAGTATTCGAACGCCAGAGGAGCCGCGATGGGAAACTCACCTACCGGCTTGCCTCACGTTCGAGTAACTCGGAATACTGATACATTCGCTGTTATAACGAACTTGCCGTCGAGTCGTAAAGCCTATATCCCGCGAATTGCTTCCGCCTCTATCGCATAATATAAATATCGTTTGCCATTCATTTCACGTTCTTCAGAGGGATAACATCCGACGCGATTGTCTCTCCTCGACTAGACAGACGACTAGATGTGCGGAGAGCATGCGCATGCGTCGATCTCTTCCAATAAATTAATCAACCAACATGGATTCCAAATGGACTTCGAAATCCGTTCTTCGTCGCGTCCCAAGACACGAAACGTGTTTTAACAAACACGTTTTTCGTTTTGCGGTTGAAATCGCAATTTTCTACAACCCGTCTTGTCTACTAATACGGTACAAATAAACGTGTTAAAAGAGACGTGGCTTCTCTCATTCATTCCAAGCGTATCCTCGTGTCTGTTCCCTCGTTCGCAAACGTTCGCGAATACGACATCGAGTAGGAATAAAATCCGAACCGTGAACCGATTGATCCTCGATGATCGACCGTGAATCAAGTCGAGGCAAAGCGAAGCAAAACGAAGGGAAGGGGAAGAAAAACGAGATGCTGGTAGTTCGGAGTTTGCCCCGCAAGGGGGCAAGAGAGTGGCGCGCGCACACACAGGCGCGTGGTGTATAACCCCGTTGGTATACCACAGGTGCGTAATCATTTCTAATGAAACGTTGTCATTTAACAGTGCGATTGTAAGAGCGCAGAAACTTGTTTTCACTTGCGCGAAAAACGGCGACCGTTAATGCAGCGGTAAAGACGCCTCTCCCGTTACCAGCATTGCGCGCGACCACGATATATACGCACGGGAACACCTTCCTTCAAACATGCCCACTTTTGCGCTTACGTGTCGCGAGGATTTTCTTCTATGATTCCCCCGTTTCAAAAAAGATCGCGACTCGTTTCGTGTTCGAGCTCGATGGACGCTACGAGCGGATGAAGAACGTAAAGATCTATTTTCTAGAAAATACCTTATATTATTATTATTATTATTATACGCTTGCCTGCTTATTTTCCTCGCCTACGATTCCAGGATCCGTATATAATTCCATTCTCTGTGTTAATCGACGTTGCACGTGGGAAACGGCCGGATCGCGATAACGTTACGATCCTTCACCGTGTGTCTATATATTCTCTCGAGTACGAGTACGAGCTCGAACGAGTATGAGTACCGATCCGTACCATTGATGGAATACCATTGCTTGTATTTATTTTTATTATCGTTTATTCATCGCGTTGGAAATTACGATCGAGTAGGAATGCAGAGGAGGGGGAGAAGATTGGAATGGTGATTTACGATAAACGTAATGGTATAATAATATATTTCATGAAATGAAAATAAAGATACCGGATAGAGATCCGTGGAAGAGAAATCGTAGAGATACGGCCGGATAAGGCTTGTTACTGGGGAACATGTACAGGAAACGTAACTACGGGAAAAAGTAGTATCGCGATATTTGCATTCGGTTGATCCGGTCGGTATAACAGAATTTTTCAAAGATTGCATATCGATCGATCGATACAATTCGCAGCGTTCATTTTTCGCTTACTTACCAACTTGTACGCGACTATGGCTACGTTGCAGGTGCGGAAACGACCGTAACTCGACGATTCAATCGACCGAGAGATTAAATTATCTTTCGTTTAAATCAAGACCGATGCAGATATATTTCGACTCGAGCATCGTGTTGAAAGGGTAATCGCGTACGCAAATTTTACGAATATAATTATTGAAAATTGTTTATAGAATTTTTTAACCGTTTTTCGTTACGTTTTAAGAATTATTCGTGGTAAAGAAGAAATTCGAAGCAACTCGAAAAATACCAAGGATCCTTCGAAATAAAAAAAAACGTTCCGCAAGCATCGATAATTTAAAATTTTACAATAATAATTTTAAATGAGTACCGCTAATAGTCTAAATATAGAAAATATAATTACCGTATATTTCTCTGCATGTTATACAAAATATTATTATCCGGAACTTAATAATCGTTATAAGTGATCATTAAAGAGAATTGTACGAGCATTTAAGTAATTAAACGTTTATTATATCCAATTTGAGAGGAAACACGATTACGCGGAAACGGCAAACATACGCGCACTTTAAGCTACAATAAATCTAACCCAGTATTAACAATTTTATACGCATATTTATGTACGCATCTAAAATAATTTTCAACAATTTGATCGATGAAATAATTGGTATGAAATAATTGCAGACAAAACCAACTGTGGCCATACCGTTTAAAAATTATTATTTCCACCGATCTATCTCGGATATCGCGATCGAAACGTCGGAAACGCGCTCAAATTTTAAGATTTTAAGTATTCGGTTACGAACGATATTCGCATTCGCGTTGCCAGAGTGAGAAAAGAGAGAGAGAGAGAGAGAAAGAGGTCGTCGAGTTGAAAGTATAAAAACGTTGAATTGGTTGGATGCACAGGTGGTTGGCTTGAAGAGCGTTGGTAGCAGCAGCGACATTTGGCCGCTGGAAAGGCCAGAGGGAATGCCAGCCATACAATCCCTCGAGGTGATGTGTGGAAAGGATCACATGGACGTGCATCTCTCGTTCTCCCAACCCTTCGAGGGCATCGTCTCGTCCAAAGGCCAACACGCGGATCCGCGATGCGTCTACGTTCCACCGTCCACAGGCCAGACCTTCTTCTCCTTTCGGATAGCCTACGCGAGGTAAGATCTCTTGTACTTGTCCGTCCAACCGTCTCTATCCGTCAAACGATCTTTATGGTTAAGCTCTCGCGGCGCACGCTCGATTCTATAACAAGATATGCGCGGGAACGGTTAATCGATTGTGCTGAGAACAAGCGAGAGAATTGTTAATCGGATTTGATTTCAATTTCTTTTTCTCTTCTTTTTTTAAATTGAAATTACTTATCGTGTACCTTCTCGCCGAGACAAATTGGACGAATGATCGGACTGGAAATTACAGTCAACGATTAATCAGTTTATCGATTAATTTTCATCGAATTTTTTCACACGTTTATTCAATGATTTAAGAGTGAAGGCTTAAATCCTTCCTGATCCCCAGATGCGGTACCAAGCCAGACATGCACGGACAATTCTACGAGAACACGGTCGTCGTCCAATACGACAAAGATCTGCTCGAAGTGTGGGACGAGGCTAAACGATTGCGTTGCGAGTGGTTCAACGATTACGAGAAGACAGCTTCGAAACCGCCTATGGTCATCGCGGATCTCGACGTAATCCAGTTAGATTTCAGAGGTACAGTTTCTCCATCTCTCGGCATTTACGCGGTTCAATTAATCCATTAATGCTCCAGAGAGATCGTTCTCAGAATCGAGGGCTTTTTGATATAATTTTAATCGCGGTTGTTCGTTGAAGCGATTTCGATGTCACTGAAATTTTACGCGGCGAGTCTATGTGTATACATAACAAATACGGGACAAATGGATGAAACGGTGATCCCCGTTTGTGCAAAGAGTTTAACACGAGTTTAAATGATCGCACAGGTAACTCGTGTAGCAGCGGTTGACCACAGGTTAAAAGAACCGCAGCCTCGCTTAACTCAACTTCCCTTTATACGCATGCGTATTATGCTTAGAGATCGAATCGAATAGATATCTCTCTGGTCGTTGCAGGCGACAACGTGGACTGTTGGATGGAAATTCAACACGGCAAGGGGCCCTGGGCACCACCCGTCTCCGGAATAGTGCCGCTCGGCTCCACCCTCACCCTGGTCGTCGCCATAAACGATTATCGAGGTAACGAGGGAAAAATCATTTCGCGTCGAAACGAGATCTATCTGCGTGTATATATTTAATTTCTGGATTTTTTTTTTTTTTTTTTTTTTTTTTTTTTTTTTTTTTTTTTTTTCTTTTCCATCGATCGATCGGATCACAGGTGAATTCGACATGCGCGTCAAGTCTTGCGTGGCCTCGGACGGCGGTGGGCACACGATACAGCTGAGCGACGAGTTCGGGTGCGTGCTAAGGCCGAAGATGATCAGCCGATTCTTGAAGGCGAGGGGCTCCGACGATCGTGCAACGGTCATCACTTACGCCTTCTTTCACGCGTTCAAGTTCCCGGACGCGTTAAGCGTGCACATCAAGTGCAAGGTAAACGATGTTGGATATAAATATACAACGGATTAAACAGCTTACGATCAAAGGCGAAAGCATTACTCGAAAATATTATGAAACGCGGTGAGGCCTTTTAGCCTTTTAGCCTTTACCTTTCCTTAACTCCACAAGTGGTGTCCGACAAAGTAAAGAGCAAATATTTACGATATTAAACAGGTAAACGAGCGGTTTTTAACGAATTTACTCGGCAAACGAGACGATCGATCTTGAACCGAACGATTTGCCTGTTCGTTATACAAATTTGCGAAAGAGGGAGAGAGAGAGAGAGAGAGAGAGAGAGAGAGAGAGAGAGAGAGAGAGAGAGAGAGAGAGAGAGAGAGAGAAACGAAAGCGGTTAAATTGTTTCGATCAATGTCAAGGTTGAGATCTGTCGTCACGGGTGTTTGGATCACTGTCAGCTCAGCGGATCCGTCGGCCACTACATTCAAGAGCGCAAGGATCAGATACGACCGCAATACCCGCAAACCACAATACCTCCCACCGTTCACAACAACGAGGATGACAACAACAGTGCCGACAAGGGTAACGAAAACGCGGGAGGTGGAGGCGAGCAGGCGGATGGTTCCCTTTACGATGACATCATTCAAGATGGTGACGAGATGACCTCGATAGGGGGGCACTTCTTGGGGGTGGAGAAGTCGGTACCGAAGGCGCAAGCGCAGACGAGCAACCGGTTGCCAGCGCCAGTGGTCGAGATACCGAACGAAAAACTTCATCCGGACGAGACGACCGATCCCTCGAGCCGACCGTTCCTTGTGAGTTCGCAGCGCCAACTTCTTTTTCAACTCCACTCTCTATCATTATTATTATTATTATTATTATTGTTGTTAGCACGAAAAGGGGGGAGAAAGACGAAGCCTGTTTTCACCTTTGTTTTCCAGGATCCAGCACGGGTAACGAGATACGAGAGCGATAGGGACAAATTCCCTCACGGGCCTCGCAATCTGGAGGGGGACACGATACCGAGCGTGACACCTCTGTCGTCCCCTAACGGCAGACGAAAGAGATCGGTGGTTGTGTCGGATAGGAAAATCCGTAGCGCGGACGTCGGCGTGAGCGGTTTATACGAGGTGATCTCCGAGGCCGATCTAGCTTTCAGCCCGGACACACACGCGGAAGCGGTAACCGTGTTCCAAGGTAGAATACGGGAGGAAGTGGTATACGGTATCTGCCTGCCCATGCCAGGTTTCAGCGCCCTCTTCATCGTGGTGGCGCTGTCCGCGGTCGTTTCTGCGCTTGTCGCGGGCGCGATGCTGCATCGGTTGCAGGCGCAACGCGAGGCCGCCGACAGCAGAAAGAACAATGGAGCTGTGCACTCGACCAACGGGTGGTTACCTTACGGGTTGCTGCGCGTACGTTGCGCGGCGAGACCAGCCCATCCGGAACAGATTCAACAAAAACAAACGAATCCAGTCGCAGCCACGACGAGTCCACCGGTCGAGAGAGGAGGTTGACGGACTTTCCGTGACTTTCCGTGTCGCTCGTGTCGCGGGACGCGCGACCGTGTACCACGCTCCACAGAAAGACAATGTGCAATAATCACGCTGTACAAAGTATTTTAAGTGCGTCGAATCGTACGCGCGACAGTCTCCTCCATTATATATCGATATTACGATCGCATCAATGGGACAAAGATGTTATAAAAAAGAAAAAAAAAAAAAGAAGATGCAGTTGGTGCGTTTCATAATCCGAGAGCCTTCGACTCCTCTCAATCTCCCCTCCTTCTCCATCATTTATCTATCTCCCCTCCCCACTCTCCTCTTTCCCTTTCCTTCCTCTTTTCTTCCTCGTCCAAGCAAAGCAAACGAAAGCGTTATCGAACGATTATTTTCGACGAGTAAAAAATATTGGTATTGGGTAAGTAAGGAAAATAATCATCGCTAAAAAACAATATTCGCCGGAGGACGAGTTGATGAAATATTCGCGAGAGGGATAGTGTGTTGTTCAGTTGTACAACGAGTGTTTCCTCTCGAGTGTTGAGTGAATATTGTAAGGAAAAAAAAAAAAAAGAAAAAAAAAAAAAAAAAGAAAAAAGAAAAAAAAACACGTTTCGCTTGATATTGCGAATAATCATATTATCAGATAATTTGTATTATTCTTTCGTTCTTCGATTCGCCATTCATTTCGCTCGAATCGAAGATGATTAAGGGAGGATTAAACGAAATACGCGTCTTTTCCCCCTAGATAATTGAACTTGAACTTGAGAAGGTGCGTACTAATATTTTTCTATAAGTCTGTAGAATACGAGAATTAAAGTGCGATTTAAAAAAAAAAAAGATTCGTTCATTTGTAAGTCGTAACGCGTATTTAGTACTCGTGTCTTATCTATTTAATGATGATATTCGCTAGAGGTGCTGATAACGATCAATATATTCATATCATAATTATATAATAAAAAGTTGAACAGACAGATCAGATATAATAAAGATTAATATCATCATCCAATTACTATCGAATATATAATTTTGTATAAACTATATATAAGTAATTGTTGAACGAATCGAATTAAATATTTTTCTTAGAGATCGACATTTTTGATATTTGATATATCATATACAAATGATAAAAATCATTGTACATAAACGAAAATATTTTCGAACAGATTTACAATCAAAATTTAATATCCTATTTCTGAATTTGAATTCGTAAAATTAATCGCGCGATTAACTATCGTGCAAAGACATATATTTTATTCCTTAAGCTTTGTACTTTTTCACATTTTTCAGAAAACTTTTTTTTTTTTTTTGTATTTGTATCTTCGCATAAAATTATATTTGTATAAAAAATAGAATTAAAAATGTCTTATTCATATGTAGCAAATAAAAAACTTATTTCAAACTTACACTTTACCTCGTCTTTGCCGCTTTTCAACAAAACTCGCATCTAATTTCACGGGTATCTTCAATATTAGCTAATATCGTGTATTGCTAAACGCAACGCAGATTGATAATATAATAAACTTAAGCTAGCAGCACCTCTAGAATTAGCTTTAAAGAGGCTGAAAATAACAGCTGAAAATAACAGGTGAAAAATATTTTGCGAAGAAAATTTGAAACAATTGAGCTCGAATCTTTCTCTCTTTTTTTTTTTTTCCTCCTTTGTTTCATATTTCGAGATATTTATATTATTATACGCGAGTAATATAATTATAAAAATTTCAACATGATTTAGCGTATGCCTGTCGATACATCGACATCTCCAATGTAATATCTTAAAAAAGAAAATCGATTCGATTGTATAGAAAGATATTTAATATCCTGTGAACAAGATCCCGTATTCATCGAGCTTGAAATATCATAAACACACATATATCCGAAAAGCTGTTTTACAAAAAGAGCTATTCGGTTTAAAAGCATTTGTCCAAGAATAAAAAATAAAATTCCCTAGATTCACTTTTTCTTCGACACGTGTGTCGATACTTATTACATATACATATGTGTAGAAATAATTGTTAAAATGAATGTAGAGATTGGACAGTTGCTGGAAGAGTACTTTTAACGAAAGGAAGAAAAGGATCGAGTCGATTGATCGAAAGATTGCGTTTTTTTATTTAACATCGAATCAATGCCAATAAATATATTTACAGAACCTTGACTATCTATCTCCACGGAATCAACGGTTTTTATTCTCTTCCTGCGTTCTTTTATTTTCCAAAGCGAAAATGATCGAAGACAATTAGAGTTCGTATTCCATTATACTTCTCTCGTGTATTCGCTAGCTCGAATGAGAGAGAATATATTCGTGTGTAGAAGAAGGGCG